AGGGCCGGGCTCAGGGCCGGGCTCGCTTTATGCAAACAGTCACACACTTCGTGCTCTTCGACCTCCCAGAACTCCATTCCCGGGCCACATTTTGAATGCCCGAAGCCAACTGTAGGCCACTTCGTGCACTACGACCTCCCAAAACTCCATTCCCGGGCCACATTTTGAATGCTCGGAGCCAACTGTAAGCCACTTCGTGCTCTTCGGGTTCCCAGAATTGAACTCCCGGGCTACATTTGGGATGCTCGGAGCCAAGTACTGTAGGCCACTTCGTGCTCTTCGAGTTCCCAGAATTGCATTCCCGGGCCACATTCTGGATGCCCGGAGCCAACTGTAGGCCACTTCGTGCTCTTCGATTTCTCAGAACTCCACTCTTGGGCATGATTTTGAATGCCCGGAGCCAACTGTAGGCCACTTCGTGCTCTTCGAGTTCCCAGAGCTCCACTCCCGGGCCACATTTTGAATGCTGAGGCAGGCTGATGCTGAGGCTGAGGCAGGCTGAGGCAGGCTGAGGCTGAGGCCGAGGCTGAAGGCAGACTGAGGTTGAGGCTTAAAGGCTGAGGCTGAGGCTGAGGCTGAGGCTGAGGCAGGCTGAGGCTGAGGCTGAGGCAGGCTGATGCTGAGGCAGGATGAGGCTGAGGCTGAGGCTGATGCAGGCTGAGGCTGATGCAGGCTGAGGCTGAGGCTGAGGGCAGACTGAGGCTGAAGGCTGAGGCTGAGGCTGAGGCTGAGGCTGATGCAGGCTGAGGCTGAGGCAGGAGGCTGAGGCCGAGGCTGAAGGCAGATTGAGTCTGAGGCTGAAGCAGGCTGAGGCTGAGGCTGAGGCTGGCTGAGGCAGGCTGATGCTCAGGCAGGCTGAGGCTGAGGCTGAGGCTGATGCAGGCTGAGGCTGAGGCAGGCTGAGGCTGAGGCCGAGGCTGAAGGCAGACTGAGGCTGAGGCTGAAGCAGGCTGAGGCTGAGGCTGAGGCAGGCTGAGGCTGAGGCTGAGGCAGGCTGATGCTCAGGCAGGCTGAGGCTGAGGCTGAGGCTGATGCAGGCTGAGGCTGAGGGCTGAGGCTGAGGCCGAGGCTGACTGAGGCTGAGGCTGCTGAGGCTGAGGCTGAGGCTGAGGCTGAGGCTGAGGCTGAGGCTGAGGCTGAGGCTGAGGCAGGCTGAGGCTGAGAGCTGGCTGAGGCTGAGGCTGAGGCTGAGGGCAGGCTGAGGCTGAGGAGGCTGAGGCAGGCTGATGCTGAGGCAGGCTGAGGCTGAGGCTGAGGCTGATGCAGGCTGAGGCTGAGGCAGGCTGAGGCTGAGGCCGAGGCTGAAGGCAGACTGAGGCTGAGGCTGAAGCAGGCTGAGGCTGAGGCTGAGGCAGGCTGAGGCTGAGGCTGAGGCAGGCTGATGCTGAGGCAGGCTGAGGCTGAGGCTGAGGCTGATGCAGGCTGAGGCTGAGGCAGGCTGAGGCTGAGGCCGAGGCTGAAGGCAGACTGAGGCTGAGGCTGAAGCAGGCTGAGGCTGAGGCTGAGGCAGGCTGAGGCTGAGGCAGGCTGAGGCTGAGGCTGAGGCAGGCTGAGGCTGAGGCTGTGACTGCGACTGCCGTTGCCACTGCGACTGCCATCGCGAATGCGACTACGATTGCGACAACAGCAGAATTCTACAACAGGATTCTCATATGAGTCTTAAGGGGAATGCTTCCAGATATGCTCCTACCCATCGCTGTTAGGTTGCTTTGCAGGGATAATTTAGCATACACGGGTTTTCGGTTTCCACGGCGTTGACGACGGCCCAAGAGGCCCCCAAGACCGCCCCAAGACGGCCCAAGGGGCTCCCCAGAGGCCCCCCCAAACGGCCCAAGAGGGCGCCAAGACGGCCCACGAGGCGCCCAAGACGGCCCACGAGGGCCCCAAGACGGCCCCAAGAGGGGGACCACGAACCCGAAAGTCTAGCCAATCGCTCCAAGGCGCTCCCAGGAGGCCCCCACAGACCCCCAAGAAGCCCCAGAGGCCCCCAAGAGGCCCCCAAGAGGCCACCAGGAGAGCCCGAAAAGGGCCCCAATAGGACTCCCACGAAGGCCCAGATACGCCAAGAGCGATCGGTAATGCAAAAAGCTCTTCACACCAAGGCTCCCAAGAGCGAACGGTGACGTAAACAAGCTGATAAGACCAAGGCTCCCAGCAGAGAGCGGTGACGTAACAAGTTCCTGACACCAAAGCCCAGCCAAGGCTCAGGAACGGGCGGCAACGCAACAATCTCTGAACCCCAAGGCTCCCAAGAGCGAGGGGTGACGTAACCAGCTCTCAACGCCAAGGCTCCCGGTACGAACGGTGGTGTGAGTCATTTCGGTTTCTGTTGCTGCAGCGGTCTTTCCGTTTCTGTGCTGGGCCAGGTCTAATGTTTTCCGGCCCATCCTGTCACCGTGTTTGGCTTGTGGGTCAGAGTCCTGAGGGATGCTTTTTGGGGTCTCTTCGGGTTGCTCTCGGGGGCCAATTCGGGAAGCAGTTACTGGCCCCCCTGCGAGCCTCTTGGGGCCCTCTCCGGGCCTCTTGAAGGCCTCTTAGGCCTGTTGCGGGTTTGTTGGGACCTCGTGGGGGCGTCTTCGGGACGAAGGCTCGACATGTCCGTTCGGGTGTCTCCTGTGAGCCTTATGGGGCCGTCCTGGGACCGTCTTGGGGGCTTCTTGGGCCGTCCTGGGGCCTTCTTGGGCGTTCTTGGAGCCTTCTGGGGGCCTCTTTGAGCGATCCTGGTGGCCTTTGGGGCCATCTTGAACGCTGCGAAATCCCAAAAGGCGAATATGCTGGGAAAAATGTTTGCCCAATGGAACGGGACGATGTTTGCATATTGTGCCTCTCTTGGGGGCCCCTTGTAGCGTCTTCGAGGCCTGGTGGGCCGTCCAGAGGCGTTCCTTGACCGTCTTGGGCGCTTGGTGAGGGTCTCCGCGAAGTTCCCCAGGTCGCTTGGGGCGTTGCAGCCGTCCCGAAGGCGCACGCGGAGTACCCCGGGGGCGCCCGAGAGCGTCCATAAGCGCCAGGGAAATTTGTGGTCTGGGAGAAACTACAATGTTGGCTGCTGCAGCAGCAGCAGCACAGCTGTGAGCCTTGGGGGACTTCACTTCGTGCCAGAGGCACGGTGGCGGATACGTTGAGCACGCCATGTGGTGCAGTGCAAGTTATGCGCGCTGCAAGCAATGCCCAATATCTGTGCTGTGCAAGCTATGTGCAGTAAGTGTTTGGTGTAAACAATACCGCGCAGGCTATGGTGCAAGGTATGTGGTACAAGTGATGTGGTGACAACTGTGTGGTGCAAGCTATGGGGTGCAAGGTTTGAGGTGTAAGCGAAGTGGCGTGAGCTATGATACGCGAGCAACGTAGTGCAAACGGTGGGTGCCCAGCGCACGGGTTGCCCTCAAGGCGCCCGCGACCGCCCACCAGGCCAAACCTCGTCATACCCAGGCAGCGCACGGGACGCTCACGAGCCGCCCACTGCGGCTCACCAGGCAGCGCACGTGGCGTCCACGAGGCGCCCACTGCCGCCCACCAGGCGAAACCTCAGCACACCCAGCCAGCGCACGGGCGCACACGAGGCGCCCACGGGGGGACATTCTAGGTGCCTCGTCAGACAGGGGGAGAGCTCAACTTTTGACGTTCCAGAGCATGTTGTAGTGACAGCGTTGCGTATTAGCAGTGTTGCAGCGATGATTGCCATCGAGCAGACCTTCCCTTTGAAATTCTACGACTCCGCGTGGGCCTGGCGGGCGGGGGACCGCGGGCTCCCCGCTTTGATTTCAGGAGCATCAGTTGATCCCAGAGCATGGCCGAGCAATCCGGTTTCGCTTATCGCTTATAATTCCTGCCAAGCGAGCGGTCTCTGGAGTCCTGGAGCGGTTTCTGGCCGTTTCTTGGAGGCACTAATTACTTGGTTTCCCCGGTGACCGTCCAACGTCCTTTGCGCATCTCCCATGCACCGAGGGGAAACACATGTGTTTCGCCTGAGACATCCTCGCCCGCGTGTTGATATCAGCTCAGGTCTTGGGAGTCTCTGGCCAGCTTTCCCCAAACCCCTGCGGCGTCGCTCGATTCTGGTGGCGCTTGCGCGCGGAACTCACATCCGAGAGTCTTCACTGTGGCGCCCGACACCCTCGCAGAGATCAGAGTCCGCGACAGCTGCGCTGGGATCCCAGAGGGATTCGGCAGGATCTCCCGGTGCTCTGCGCTGTCAAGGACGCGATGTCGCCATTTCCATTGCCAAGTCCTCGTGCGTCCCGGCTCCGGCGATGCAAGCGCTGTTGGGGTTTATTGGGAAACAGAGGCGCGCTCGAGCCACACATTCCAGTGGAGCTTGCCTGGAGACAACAGCGTGCTCGAGCCATCAAGGCGATGGCTCGAACTGCAGAGGCTACGGAATCCACGCATCCGATGTTCTCGAACTCCCAGCGGAGGGCACGAACATCGAAAGCAGAAGCCTTCCCCTGTCTTTATGGGCAAGCGCACGGGGCGCCAACAAGGCGCCCACGGCCGCCCAGCAGGCGAAACCCTGAAACACCCGCCCAATTGTTGAGCAGCGGGCGTGGTAAGAATTCCTGGCGCCTTTCGAGCAAGGATTGTTTAGGGAATCTTGCAGGTGCACCGTTCACCGCGTGAAAACAGCCAGGCGAGCTCTCCCTGGCTTCTGTTCCTCCTCTACTCCGTGCTGAATTTTGGGTGGTTCTCGGAACCCTCGTCAGATGTCTTGGGAATTTTTCGGGCGTATTGGGCTTCTCCAGGGGTGGCTCTTACGTCATCTCGGCGGCCCCTTGGCGTTCTTTTGGGCTGTCTCGGGGGACTATCGGTGCCGTCTTCCTTAGGCTCCCCAGGACGCTTGGCTCAAAACTTAGCCGATTGATAGTCCGTAGCCATTTTGGCTCAAGTCGATTTTGATTCAGGCGAATTCGGCACAGCAAATTCACTAATCAAGGACCCGCAGCGCTCTCTCGCTGTTCACTCTGCATCTTCGAAGGTACCCGCTGCTAGCAATCCAGTAGCACATGACGCACGACGAGTTCTTGCAGTATGTTGCTGCTCTGCAGCAGTCACCGCTGCAGCAACAGTACTTGCAGCAGTACTACGCGCAACAGCCGGCGCAGCTTCCGGCGCAGCTTCCGGCGCAGCAGTATCACGTGCAGCCAGCGCAGCACTTGCAGTACTACGTGCAGCAGGCGCCGGCACAGACGACGATGGTGTACCTGCCTGCCGACGCGTTCCCAGGGATGACGTGCCAGGTGCAAGCGGGGGGCCGCCTCGTCAGCTTCGAGGTGCCCGCCGGGTGCGGCCCAGGCAGCGCGGTGCAGGTCAGCTACTGAGCTGTGCGTCGCGGGCTGATCTCGGAGAGCGCCCGTCCTCGTGCCCCTCCTCTTTCAGTGAAAATTAGAGAGGCCTTACGGCCAGTGCAGCCGACCCTGAACGACGACGACGACGACGAAGACGACGACGACACCGACGACGACGACGACGACGACGACGACGACGACGAGCGCCCTCGGAGGCCTCTTGGGGGTGGTTTTAGGGTCTCTTGGGAGGCTCTCGGGGGCCTCTTGGAAGCTTCGCGGGTGACGACGACGACGAAGACGACGACGACGACGACGACGACGACGACGACGACGACGACGACGACGACGACGACGACGACGACGACGAGCGCTCTCGGGGGCCTCTTGGTGGTAGTTTTGGGGCCTCTTGGGAGGCTCGTGGAGGCCTCTTGGGAACCTCGTGGGGCCTTTGGGGAGCTTCCTGGGGTCTCTTGGGGGCATCCTGGGAGCCTCTCAGGCCGAGGGCTCAAAATGGCCGTTCGGGTCAGCCGTCTGGGCTCACTCTTGGAGCCGCCTTGGAGTCCTCTCGGGCTGTCTTCGAGGCCTCTTGGGCGGTCTTGGGGCCCTGTTGGGTCGTTTTGGAGCCCTCTTGGAGGCCTCTTGGGCGATCTTGGGGGCCTCTTGGGCTGTCTTGGAGCGTCGGGAGGCCGACAAGGCGAGAACGCCAAAGTCTTTCAAAAACTTACGTAAGGACCATCGGTGATATTTCCCCTTGAGTCGAGGCTCTCTTGGGAGTGCTCTTGGAGGCCTCTTCGGGCGTTTTGAAAACCTCTTGAGCCGTCTGGAGGCTACTGTGGCGTCTTGGACCGACAATTCAGCGATTCGGAGCCCTCGAGGACAGTCTTGAGGGCCTCTTGGGGCACTTTTGCCATTTCTTGGGGCTTCTCTGGGCCCGGAACTGCCCTGGGCGGATGCGTACCTGGGGGGCGACCCACCCCTGGGACCCCACCCCCTGGTTGTCCCCCCCCAGGAGCCCCCCCCTCCCCCGGCGGGGAAGGGATCAATGAAAAGAGGAAGGGGCTTCCTTTCGCTGCAGCCACGACGTTGCTCAATGTCGGTTTGGTTGGCGTGCTCACAGAGGAGGGCCCAGGGAAAGGAGACGGGGGACGCCGGAGACGACGATTAACGGAGACGACGAGGAGACATCGGAGACGGAGACGACAACGGAGACGACGAGGAGACGACGGAGACGTCACGACGACGACAACGGCGACCAACGGAAGAGCGTCTTCCACACGCCGACAGGTCAGGAGAGAAAAAAACACAGACACAATTAATCGTCGATTCCCCAGAAAATATGGGAAAATATGGGAAGTGTGGGGGGAAGACAACAACCCAGAAAATATGAAAAAATATGGGGAATATGTTTATTTGTGTGTATTTATTTGTGTGCCCCAGGGCCCCTTCAGCAGGGTCGGCGGATTCGTATCGGATGTGTTACTGAGCCGCTTCCGGCTTCCTGCCTACACGCCCCAGGCGAAGCCGCTCACACAGCAGAGGCTCGTCTACGCGCGCACAGGCAGCAACCGAGGGTGGAATTCGCCTGCGGACGCATCTTTCGGACAACAGTCCGCGCTGCTTACCAGGACCTCTGCTGCATGGCTGCGCCCCTGCTTCTTTGTCTTGTTCCGACCGCCCGACAGAGTCGCGAATCGCCCAATGCGGAGTTATGCGCGCAAAGAACAACAACAATAACAACAATAACATCCACAACCACAACCACAATCACAACAGCAATAACAACAACAACAACAACAACAACAACAACAACAACAACCACAGCCACAGCCACAGCCACAGCCACAACCACAACCACGACAACACCAGCAACAGCAACGGCGACAGCGACAACCACGACTAACCAAAGTTTACTGGTTGTGAGAATTGGAAGACGTTGTTTAATGCTGGTGCCTCCGTGTACGGCATGTGGGTGATGCGCGCATCTCGTCCTGCCTGTTTCTGTGGGGTGATCCTGGGGCGCCTTTCGGTAAGCTTCCCATGTCAGAGCCACGGACCAGTCTGAGCAAGGCCCGAATCAGACTCTGGCTGCCGTCCTCGGGGGTCGCCGCGGCAGGGCATGCCAGCGGCGCGGCCAGGAAGCAAGGGAAAGGGGAGAGGGGGCTGGCAGTCTGCGAATGGGGGGCGGGGGGTGAGCTTCCCAGCAGCCCTCCCTGCCTCCGAGGGAGCCTCCGGAGCTCCCTCGGCGGGCGGGGGCCCCGCCCCCCCCCCCTGCTCGCCGAGGGCCGCCCCCCCCTCCCGTGCTTCCGGGGCGCGCCGCAGAGTGCAGGTGCGGGCAGGGATTTGGACGCCCGAAATGGGTACGGTAGGTTCGTGCGGCGTTGGCGCGCCGGCGACGCTGGCGAAGGCGTTCAAGGTTGAATTCTGCGACGCGGAAGCACGAAGGGCCACGGCAACGCTACAGGACCCGACGGAATTCAACCTTGAAGGATCGGGGCCGCGATCGATCAAGGTTGAGCGATCGACGCGGTGTCAAGAACCTTTGCGTGCGCCGACGCCGCATGAACCTACCGTACGGAAAGAATGGGTGCAATGCCCAGCAGCAGTTCCTGTCCATTTGGAACAGGGCTCGCTGTCGGTGTCGCCGCGGCTCGTGCCCATTCGAGACAGGAGGCCGCCTGCCCCAACAGCGGCCGCTGTTGGTTCGGGGCAAGACTTGTTGTTGGGCATTGTGCCCATTCTTTCCGCACCCATTTCGGACGTCCAGAAGGGAGGGCAAGGGGGAGTGATGGCAGGACGGGCCGGAGGGCGTCTTGCTGCGGCTCCGAGTCCGTCGCGCCCAGCTCGCCGTGGCGCTCGTCCTGGGCCCCTGGGCAGCCCCTGGGGGCTCCCTGGGAGCCCTGGGAGCACCTGGAGGCCCTGGACACGCCCCGGGAGCTCCAGGGAGCAGCTGGCGGCCCTCGATGCTGGAGCTCGGGCGGAGCAGCAGAAAGTGTGCATTCTTGTGGGCTAGGATTTTCTTATGATATGCCCCAAAACAACATCAAAAAGACGAGAGATTTGCTCCAACATCCCAACCATGCTCTGTCCTGGGACGCCTTGGCACGTGGTCATGGCTTCGCAGCTGTTCTTTTTCATGTATTGTTTCCCCGGTCGGCGCGGGCCCCCGGCACCCTCCACCTTCCTCCCCATCGGCCCGATGTTGGATGGCTTCGGCGGCTGTTTCGGGCGACTGGTCAGGACCCCCCCTTCCCAGTCTGCTTGCACGACAGGTAAAAGTGCATCGACAAAGCACCGGCCCAGACCCAGACCCGCCTCCCCCCCTCCCCCGCCCTTCGGCCAGACGTCGAAACCCAGGACGAAAAGACTGCGCGCTCCGTGCTCCTCCTGGATTCAGCCTGGGGGAACCGAACCTCCTGGCCGTGGGTTCGGTATCGCCTTCGCGGGGGGGGGGGGGCCATGGAGAACGATAGGGGGCGATAGGCTCAAGTCTGGCATGTCCCTCTACAGGAGGAATACCCAAAATTGTCGAAACATGGTATTGGAAGTATTTTGGGGCACTTGTTGTGTATTGTTTGCCATTGTACTGCTTCTCGTCCAAAATCCGCCGACCTAGCGATAGGCTCCGGGGGACGCCTCGACCCCCAATCGCCCATCCGTCGCCCATAGCGGCATGATAGTCCCCCGCCCCCGCCCAGGGAGGTGGGGATGTGCTCTTGGGGCCCTGTCGTCGATCTATCGGCGCTGTCTCGCCGATTCCAGGTCGATGCATCCCCCCTCCCCTCGGGGGAGCGTAAGACCCGGGTTTGCCAGGACTCGGGTTCGCCATCGTTTTTTGACGACCGCGCCTCGGATTTTGACGAGGAGGAGTTTCGTGGGATGTCTGCAGCGGGAGGCATCGTCAAAATGCAGGCTCGGCCTCGTCATTTTTTTGACGACCTCGTCGGGGATTTCCGAGTCCCCCGTACCCGGGTCTTACGTCTCCCCTGCCAGCCCCCCCCCCCTGTCGTCGCACCTCGTGGGGGAGGGCGCCTGGTTCCGCCGGCAAGCCCGGTCGTCGTCGTCGTCGCCGTCGACGTCGACGTCGTCGTCCTCGTCGTCCTCGTCCTCGTCCTCGCGGTCGTGGTCGTCGGGGGGGGGGGCGCCGAGTGCCGCCGGGCGGTGCAGGCGAGGGGCCCTACGGCGGCTGCGCGCCCGAGGCCCTCCGTGTGCGCCGCGCGCCCTTCTGCGCCGCGCGCTTCGCCTCGTCGGGGCGGCCCCAGGGCCCTGCCAGGCGGCCCAGACCCCCTCGAGTAATGAAAAAAATATGACGGGAGGTTTTTCCTAATTTTCGGCATCCGGGGGCCCTCACCGGGCCTCGGGAGCGTCAAAAAACGACTCAGGATGCAAAGCCGGTCATGGGGAAAGGGTCGGGACCTCTGGGGGTCGACGTAATGAGAAATCATTACGTCGGGGGTCTGGGGGCACAGGTCGAGGAGGGTCAGGTCAGGAGCGAAGGAAGGCAGTGCCAGGCGGTTATGTTTTGCTCTTCTCCGGGAGGGCCTGGGCCCAATCTGCTCTGTCCGCCTTCCTGCTGCAAGTTTTCCCCACTGATTCCGACCGACGTGTGTACGTGCATGAAGGGGGGAGACGTAAGACTCGAGTACGCCGGAACTCGGGTTTGCCGCCGCTGTTACTTGGCTCCAACAAAAGTTTCCTTGGAAACTCGCAAGAGGAATGATATGTATGTAAACCCGTCGGCAAGATGAAAAGTCGCGCGCGCGTGCTCAGCGTTCGCACGCACGCGATCCCAAGACGTCCCATGGCCACAACATGCTTCCAGGAATGCCTCAGGCCACGGACGATAACGTCCAGAGGACCCAGGATGATGCCACCCCAACGCGATCCCGCCATGGATTCTGGACCGTCTCAGGCCGACTCGCAGATGACGAAACACATGAGCAACGCGTGACGCCGAGATGGCCCGATGGCAACAAGATGGATCCAAGCGCACCAAGGGTGGCCTCATAATGACCACGCGATGGTTGCGTGATCCA